AATTATTTGTGTGTTTATTCCACAAGATCAGTACAGTAAGAGAGCAAACATATGCAATAGTACAAGGACCCAAAAGGATCATGGGTAGCATGATAGACCAGATGTCATTATCAACCAAACCCTTCCTACCCTACAGGAGATAATGGTTAAAAGCATGTGATAGCCACACACTTAACAGTATAGAGTGATGAGTCCCTTTTCATGCTAAACCATGTTGATGGTTAAGTCCAAACCTGGCATAAACTCCACAAAGCTGCATCCTTGGTTGCACAGTTGAGGTTCCACAAGCTGATGGTGGTTGTATCATAGTCTGGGGAGCATTCTCTTGACAAGGCCTAAGACCATTGCTCATCATCCCATAATCCTTAAATGGTTAATGATACAGGAATTTGTTAGATAATCATCAGCACACATCTCCAGACTATGTTTCCTTACAATGATGCCACATTTCAAGATAATAATGCACTGTGCCATCTGGTGAGTTTCACTTGGAAATAGTTGGAAGAACATGACAATGAATTCCATACACTTCCTAGGCCCCAAACCCATCAAACTGCACCCCTACTGAACATGTTTGGGATATGCTGGAATGTGTGGTGAGGTATTCACCTACTTGAAATGTGCACCAACTGATAAAACTGCTTGAGAAGGCATGGGTCCAGTTAAGTATAGAGATTGTTCAGCATCTGATAGAGTTCATACCTGGCATTTGCAAGCCATGATCACCCAGAAAAGTGGACCAACCTGTTATCAGGCAGGTGTTTCTAATGTAGTGATCATTCAGTGTATATGTTACTGCTAAAGCTCGAAATCCGTTAATGTGTACATTACCTAGCTAATCTGCAGATTAACTAGGGTAATCTGTTAAAGCTGCGAAAATTATTCAATTTCTCAAATTACCTAGGTAATTTGCAGAGTATCTAGGTAATCTGCACATTAACGTTTTCCGTATCATTAAAGTTCAAAAGTTTGTTTCTTTCACTTCCTTTCCCCACTCCTTCTTTTTACGTAGATAAATTTAAATCCTAGAATGCAAGCAAGCACCGAATTGGTGAGTAAAATCAAGAAAAGATTCTTCGCAAACCTCTTTAGCGAAGATTTAAAATATAATACGTAGTGTTTTAATAACAAACCAAAGTATGATTCCATAATTGAAGATGTAAAGCAAATAAAAGTTTCCAAGAAGAAAGAATCATCTCGAGATTATCAAATAATTCAAAGGTGTG